TCTCAAGTTTCTTGGAGAAGTTGATGGAGAAGTTGGATGGCCAGTTCAGCCCTCCTGAATGCTGAAGTCTGTGATACCTTTTCATATTTTGTGTAGATGTATGGTGCCCTTGAAAGCTTTGGATTTCATTTGCCCTTAACAAGCACCACTTTTGTAGGCTAAAAACAGTCCTGAAGAAGCAAGTGAGATGAAATGAAAACTGGGTTTACAGATGATTTTTTTTTTCCCCCTTCAGTATCCTCTGAAATAGAATGAATTTCCTAGTTCTGCGTTTGTCTTTCTTACACATAAAATCAAGTTGAAGAAGGAAACACTTCTGTTTCCTTTTAAAGGGTAATAATGTCAGGGCTAATTACTTTCTTTTTTTCTTTTTTTTTTCTGACTTAAAAAATCACTTCTGAAGACAGAAACCTTTACAGGAAAAAGCATTTTTTTTTCTTCTAGTACTTATAGCCATGATTTTTGACTTGTACGTGTTTGAATTCATATTTTCTTTCTGCGAGGTGCTTTTGGTTTGGTTTACTTTGATGACTTTGAAAGTGGTTGAAGGAAACTATCCATTACTAAACAAATAGTCTTTTGGGAAATGTTTTTACTTTTTTTTTTTTTTTTAAATTCCAAGTAATTCTATTTAATATTGCTTTACAAAGAGAAATCCTGTCTTTAGTTCATGTCTGTTTTCTAAGATTGTAGCTTTCATGTGAAGTGAAGAATTGTGCACAACCATCAAGTGCGTCTGTTTTTTAAGATTGTAGCTTTCATGTGAAGAATTGTGCACAACCATCAAGTGCTAAAAGGACAAGAATTTAAATCACTTGATACAGAGGGAGTATTCTTTAATAAGCGCTGTGTGTTCTTGATCACGTCTTACAGTTTATAGTCTAAATACTATGATAATTGCCTAACTTTTGTGTTCTGTTATTAGAGACCCTTACGAAACTGGAACTTGTAGTACATGCTGTCTTTTATGGAATATTTATTTTGGTTTAAGCTTCTCTGTAGTAATTTTTACTGTCTTAATTGAGGTGCTGTATTCTTGGAGAACTACACTTACCCTGGCTTCGTCTGTTGATAGAATCAGACAGCAGCAACAGGAAGCCTCTTGGAAAATGGCCACGCTGCCTATTCAGAAGGCACTTCTGTGTATGCCTCTATAGGCCATTTTTTTTAAGATGTGTTTTTTTGGTAAAACTTACAGGTCAGTTCCTTTTAGGAAATTTTTAACTACCTTCACAACATGAAGTTCTGATTAAAGCTGTTCTGCATTACAGTAGAAGGAATTTTCCTGATTTTTTTTTTCTTCCTCTTGCAGAGTTTTTGTGCAGCCTTACATCAGGAACTCAAAGAATACTACCGACTTCTCTCTGTTTTACACTCTCAGGTAAGTTGGGTACTTCTTATTTAACTTTCCTATTCAGACATTATAAATCAAACAGCCTCTAGAAGGTGTCCCCTTAGAAAGGAAAGGATGTGCAACAGTTTCTATGGATAACGTACTGAGATTACTTTTTGGATAGATGTACCAATGAGTATTTTCCCCTTAAAAACTCACATATAGTTTGATGTTTTATGTAAGTAAGGAATAGAATTCTTGTTTCTAAGCTTTTGCCCTTTTGCTTCATTTCTAGCAGTTTCCTCTTGTGTGATATCTTTACTATCATTCAAATATCCCATATTAGCATGCCATATCTTTTCTAAAGGGAGTATTTGAGCAGTATTTCAAGCAATGCATGGTTCAGCAATGAGGACAGTTTCATCTTCTTACTCTGTCAAGTGCAGTTTTTATGTTTTCCTTGCCCTTTCCACTGTATCGAGAGACTGTATTGAGATATTTCAATGTTGTGTTGCTTTTTGTGTGGTATAAACCAACCTGGTGGTGACGATGTGCAGTTTTTCTGTAGTTTTGTGCATGCCTCCCCAGTGCTGAACTTGGCACCGATAGGCCCAATTGGAGCGACCTCAGTGTCCTATCAGGCCATTGCCTGTGCTGCTGGGCTCTGTGTTCATTTGTCTTTTGCGGGACAAGAAGGTAGTGGGTGTTAGTGGCCCTGGAGAAGACCGTGGCTCGCTCCCAGCTGGAGCCCTTTGTGCCGGGCAGGTGTCTGTCTGGCAGGAAGTAGAGTGGGGAGGTGGAGACTAAGCAAGGAGGACAACTACAATCATTAGGAGTATGGGACAACTGCCATATGAGGAGAGGGGAGACAGACTGAGTCTTGAGGCTGAACAGTGGCTATAGTGGCTTCAATTTCTAAAATTATGAAGGATAAGCTGAATGCAAAGTTATGGAATTTGGTGATTGTTTGATTTTGTCAGTATTCCCTGCATTCCCTGCATCAGGGAAGGCTGTAGACTTCCCTGAGCATGGCCCACCATAAGTGCACCAGTACTTTAAGTGCACCAGTATTTTAAGTGCAAATACAAAATACAGTGTATTTTGGGGAGAGAAATATGCTAAATGTGAAAACAATTAGGGATATGGATAGGTTGATTTTAACATACAGGAGGAAAGAAAACATCTTTTCCAAGGGTTTATCTGTTTGGACTTCCCCAAGAAGTTCTGTGTTCTTAGGCTGTGCTCTTATCCTGACACAGCTTAAGAAGGCACTTGTCCTGACCAGAAGACTACCGCACATTAAAAAGTAGTGCTGTATGTAGCGGTTCACCTGAGCAGACACTTGGCCACAGGATAAACGAAGTCAGCTAATGGTGATGGAGAGGCCTGCAGGCAGCTCCCCCTTGGCAGGGCAGTTATGCCACCAGTGTGTCTTTATCTTTAGAAGTAGCAGCACGTTCCCATGTCAACACCCCTTTGCTTGACAGTAGAAATGATGACTAGAGTTGTCTACCTCCACAAACATCCTTTAAAAATTCTAAAGACCATAATGCCAGGGAACCTCAGCATGGATGAGACCTGTGCAGTGTGCCATGCCCTGACTGTGCGTCTGTCTGATCCTGTACAACTTAAGGCTCCCAGCATTTGTAGGGCTATCTACACGATCCCCTCCTTTTCTCCTTGTGTTATCTCCAGTGGCTGTTGTTTCTGCCGGTATCCTCTGCAGTCTGAGTGTCTTTCTTGCTGAATTCATTAATGAGCGCTTGCACTGGTATATTATAATGCTACATGCACTTCCTAAAAACCAAAACAGCTTTCAAGGTTCTTTGCCTGTCTCTTGTCAATTGTTGGAAAATGGTTCTGGAGAGGTAAAATGGCCTTAGCTAGTTATGGGGTATGTTCCCTTTTTAGGAATAAGGAGGATCCGAGGTTGCTTAATACATCTGTACCTGTGATATACCTCTCAAAGGCAAATAATTTGGTTTCATTCTTCAAGCTGTTGAAAAAATTCATACATGTCCTGTGACACTTGGGCTGATAGTAGCAGATACTTAATCTCTTTGTCTAGCTAGCTTGAGTTCTGATGGCTTCTGGAGGAAGGCATTAAACAGATTCTGTCCCATGTTGAGCTAAAATAAGTTGACTGTATATTAGAAATTTTACCTCCTGCACTCTTCAGATTTTTTTCCCACTATTCTTTACAGAACATCTCTTTGGGCACCTTTTGCTGTCTTTTAGGATCTCTTCTTTGTTTGTCTCTGCCCTTCTGTTGTGACTGACTAGCAGTTGCCTTTATTTCTTTAACTTCCTTTGTTCTGAATCATTACACTTCTGCTTGTCTTTGTTCTATCTCTAGAAGACAGATTCTCTGTTCTCACTTGTGAGCTTCTCAGGTTTTAGCCCAATGATTTTATGAGATGACATATAATATTGGGTACTTTGAATGTATTAGCAAAAGCTAACTATAGAAGAAAAATTATGAAATATCAGTTCTGCTTCAGTACCTGCCAGTTTTGTTCCCTGATATGTCTGTCTGTGTTTCTAATATCAGCTGCAATTGGAAGATGATCAGGGCGTGAATTTGGGACTTGAAAGCAGTTTAACACTTCGTCGTCTTCTGGTGTGGACATATGATCCTAAAATAAGATTAAAGACCCTTGCAGCACTTGTTGATCACTGTCAAGGTCTGTTTATAGTTCATTTAATGTTATGGAGAAAGCTTTATAACTTAGCATGCCAAATGTAAATATCTGTAATATTACTAGTGTATTTTTAGAAATTTTGAAGTAGCTACTGCACAGGAGTATCTCAGTTTAAGAAGAAAACTGAGGAATCATAATGCTGTTTTCATATATTCCCATTTTTTGGCAAGGATGTGCTTAGGAAATCTCTTTAAATTTAAGGAAACAGCTTTCACACTTTATCAATTACTCAGTATTATTCATTTTGCAGAGCATATTTAATTGTGGAAAACTCTACGGACACACTGCGAAATACTTAGCACCTATCAGCCTTTTCATTGTGTATGAGTATTCTCCTGCCTTTCCTGCTGGCCTATAACAGTGGTTTGCGATTTGTCTCTAGATTCATGTGAAACAACAAAACTTTACAAATCTGCAAGTAATGGGTGGGTGTGTTAGCAACCCCCAAGAAGGAACTGGCGAGTGTTGGAGTTGACCAAAATTTTGGCCAGTAACCAGCATATAAACTGTACTTCTTCCTGAGGGTACTTCAGCTTTGCTGCTTTGGAAAACAAGTGGAGATTGTCTCCACTTGGAAAGAACATCTTTAATGAAAATCTTAAGGCCGTAGCTCAATTACTGGAATTGCTATAATTTGAAACAAGCAGGCTTTACTTTCAGGACATTAATGATAATTTGACTGCTGAAGCTTGTGCTGGAAAAATAAACTTTCAGCTGTGCAAGTTAACAGCAAAACAACTTCTAGATCTGCTGCTTCTTTTTTTTTTTTTTTCCTCCTCTTTTGTGAGGGAAGCCTCTTGCCTTCTAATTGAAAGAAGACAGAATAAACTACCTAAAAGACTCTGTGGGGGGACTATAACTGAGAAGCAGAAAAGATGCATCTGTGTGGATGTGTGCACAATGTTCGTGTGCATGCCTGCACAGAGAAGGTCTGAGAGAAGAGCAAGGACGGGAGAGAGAGAGAGAGAGAGAGAAAACACAAATACTAAGGCTCTTTTAATGCCCTTCTGGTGGAAAAAAGTTAATCATCCTTCATGAGTAGTTTGATTCCTTACAGTTTGTATTCTTCTATCTAGCATTAAGTAGACAGACCACTATGTCAGGACACGTGGTTTACTACAACTTTAGTGAGATTAATGATGCATGCATTAATATCTAAGCACATCCTGTTGACATAAATAATATATTTTTTCTGTACGTCAAAATTGCTGTTTGGCAAGCCCTCAGAGTGACATATAACTAGCTAAATCAATGGTTACGGATTTTTTTTTTCAGGCTGATATATGTAGTTTTCCTTCATATACTTCTACTCTGCTTCCCTTTGATCTTGCAGGTAGAAAAGGTGGTGAACTGGCTTCAGCAGTTCATGCTTATACTAAAACTGGAGATCCTTACATGAGATCTCTGGTTCAGCACATTCTTGGCTTAGTATCCCATCCTGTACTGAATTTCCTGTATCGCTGGATTTATGATGGAGAGCTGGAGGATACATACCATGAGGTAACTTATATGTAGTAGTACATATGCAGTACTCTGTTAATTTCCTTGCTGGGAGTGGGATTTGTAGGAAGCCTGGAGAAGAATTAGGAAAGTAAACTGGGACTGAACCATATAGAACATGAGTTAAGTCTACAGTAGTAACAGGAAATGTGAATACTTTGTGAATTCACTACCTGTGAGGTGTTTGGTGGCCGCAGTGATGCCCTGTGTTGTCTTTAATGATATCTCATTATGATCACATCTTGGGTCCATTTAGTAGAGACATGATAGTGGCCTTGTGATAGATGTTTATTACTGGAAAAAAGAAAGAAAGAAAGAAAAAAAAAAGGTTACCTCCTCTTTGTCTCCCTTGCTCTTTCCTCTTTCTCTCATCTGTTTCTCTTCCCTCCTCTTTCCTTTCCTCTCTTTCCTCCCTCTCCACTTTCCCCTTGCCTTTTCAATATCCCGCTGTTGCCATCCTCCCCATTTGTTTCAAATAAGTTTCACTTTTCTGTCCTGGTACGTCTTAAACTTGTTTTTCTCTCTCTTTTTTTTTTTTTTTAAACATTTATTAGCTTTCAACTCTGTGCGCATGTTTAGAAGTATGTTGTGCACTTTAAGAAGTTTCTAATACTGAAATCACTGTGGTATAACAAGTTACAGTTTTTGCATTTTTGACATGTTTTTTCACTAAGACAACTGACTATTCTTTGCTGAAATGTTATTTAGAGGGAGTAAAAAAGTTCCTGTTCAAAAATGGATGTCTTTCATGACAGCATGGACACAAACTCCTTCCACAACTTATTGTAACAAAACTGATCATGTACATTGCTTATGACAAAAAATGGTATCCTTCTGTATAGAGTTGAGAGACCTTGAGGCATTTGATCACCAGTTCAATTGAAGCAACATTCCTTGTTTTCTATAGTTCTTTCTTCATCTGATAAAATAGCAGAAAATCTAAAAGGCTTCAGGTAAAAAAACAGAATCAGTGAATAAAAGAGAATGGCAATTATATTCTGACCTTGATGTACCATTGCTGTATAAATAGCTGTCAGTAATGCACTTCTGTATTTTTAATGGATATTTTCTAGATAATACATCTTACTGTATCCTGAGGTAGTCAAGGTTTTGTAACGTACAGAATGAGATTGTGTGGTGTTATTCTTTAACATTTTGTTATTCTTTAACATTTGTTATTCTTTAACATTTTTCTTCAGAGTTCATATTGATCTAGATAAATTTTCCATGTCAATCATCAGGACAAATTAATAATATAATGCGTGTGCGTGTGTATATATATGACTTTTTTTTTTGCTTTTCTAATTAAAAACACAACTCAAATACTTCTCAGGTGTCTCAATACATAAATGAAATACAAGGGGAAAGAGCCTGTTTCTCTTTTGTTTTTAATATTTTTAATATTTTTATCAATCTAAATCTTTTTGTAGCTTCAGATCCTACAGTTAAAACTGATCGGTTGTGGCATGACAAATATACTTTGAGGAAATCAATGATCCCTTCTTTTATTACAATGGAACAATCAAAAAAGGTATGAATAAAAAAAAAAAATCTTTCGAAGAGTTTTTGGCCTGATGCTGTTATTTAGACTTTCTTTAACAGAAAGCAGCTACAGTTCAAGTATTTGTCTTTAGAATAGTTAATTAATTGGATTATTTGTCATCAGAGGAGAACTATAAGACTGTTTCTGCTTTCCATTCTGCAACCGATGTTTGCTTAAGGGGGAAGGCAGAAAACAATTTTGCACTTAAGGCATTCTCTGTGAACAGTGAGGTTCTGGTTTGCTGTGGTTGGGACTGTGAAGCTGAAAGCTGATTGAAAGCTGATACCACAGCTTTAAGGACAACAGAGTTATATCTTGAGTGTTTCTTTGTTTTCTTTTACACAAAAGTCATTTTTAAAAACTCATTTTCTTATGTTCAGGTCCTCTTAATAGGAAAGTCCATAAACTTCTTGCATCAAGTTTGCCATGATCAGACTCCATCTACAAAGATGATTGCTGTGGCAAAATCTGCAGAATCTCCCAAAGATGGTAGAGTATCAGAACTGATCAACTTTTCTCTGAACCTTCTACAATACATGGTTTGGACTGCAGACAGATATTTTGGATAGCATCGTAGAAAAGAGTACAAAAGTCCCGCAGGTCTTAAAATATAGGTATTTTAGTAGATGTTTGCATGTTACAAAAGTTGTATTGAGAAACATGTGCCGTTTTCTGTCTTAAATTTTATAAGTTTGCTAGATGGCTGTTAATATACTGGAATTTTGAATGAAATCAGACATTATCAAACTTCTTTTGATTTTTCTTTTTTGAGTATTCCTGAGTATTGCAGTATTACTGTGTAAGAGAGATTTCAATTTTAATGAATTTGAGATTTTAGAATGCAGCAAGATGAGACTTCGTGTGTAAATACTTAGCAAGGTGATGAGGTAATGTTTAAGGTGCTGCTGCGTCTGGGAAAAATGATGACTTGCTTTCTTCTGGCAAAATATTTACCTTAACAACTTCTTATAGCTTGCTTAATATATCAAAAGCAGTATTATTTGTTAAGGCGTAAGTGACCAAAGTAATTTCTCTTTTTGTACATAGTTTATAAAGTATAGTGAGGTCATGCTAGCATGTCAAGTTTCCAGAATCTTTATCTAGTCTTCTAAAACCATCCTTTTATGCTTCTAAAGGCCACTAAGGTGATCCCAGCTCCACCCTCTAGCTTGCAAGGTTGCCCACATTAAACAGGAACTTCTTTGTTAGAACTCTTTTTTTAATAAGGATTATTAGTTGGCCATAAACTTAGGAAATAGCATTCTATTTATTTCTGTTTAAAATACAGTTTGAAACTTATCCTTGAGTAGGCAATACACTGATTTAGGCTGATTTGGGAACTAGATATTCAGTTTCTACCATTAGAGTATTAGTAATGGAATTGAAAACCATGGAAACTGGGAGCATATTCTTTCTTTAAAGCTGAGAAAAGCATGAATCTTACAGTAATTAGCGGTCTAGTTTCCTAAGGAGTCCAGTTATGGGGTTTACTCCATATTGCATGGGAGATCGTACTTGTTTTCCTGCTATTTCGTAATAGCCTTATTGCATCTCTTTCTTAAAATGCTTGGAATTATGAAAAGAAAAAGAATGAAAAAGCTACCTATATTACGGTGATGTTCCACATTTTGCCCCCAAGTTGCTGGGATTAAAGATGTAGAAGAAAAGAGCAAGTTGCTGTCTGCCCAAAGAGAATACAAGAATTCCTCTTGCATTCTAAATTATATTTAGGAAATCTTTTCTGTTTAACTTTCAAATTGATTCTTTTATTTTTCACCCTTTGAAGTGACTTCTGTTTTCTTTCAGATCCTCATGAAAAAAAAAATCCATAGCTCTGTTCTTTTGAATCTCCTTCAAATTATTTGATTCTTGTTTTGCAGGGTTCCAGCAAGTTAAAATGAAATTTACTTTCTCTATAAGAATGATAAAATAATATAAGCTGTTACTGGAAGGTAAAGGCTGGGCACAGGTTGGAAGTAATAACCCTGAAATATGGACTGCTTTAAACTTGTTTTCTCTTTGGTTATAGCTGTGCCAGACATATAGCTGATAATGTTAGTGACAATCTCCCTTCTTGGTGCTTGCCTTCTTTGTGAAAAATACTAACTTAACTTTTTTTTTTTTTTTTAAGCTGCTGATTTGTTCACAGATCTGGAAAATGCATTTCAAGAAAAAATTGATGCAGCTTATTTTGAGACCAGCAAATACTTGCTTGATGTTCTCAATAAGAAATACAACTTACTGGAGCACATGCAGGCCATGAGGCGCTATTTACTACTCGGACAAGGAGACTTTATCAGGCACTTAATGGACTTGCTAAAGTAAGAGAGCCTGAAGGGTAATTTTGTTCGATTTCTGATGCTTATAAATGGATCGATCAGCACAGAAAATACTTTGTTTTCAGAAATGGACACTTTAAGTATCTTAATAGTCAAAGGGTCAACTGAACATCCTTAAATTCCATTTTGGATTTGGTTGCTTTGAGGCTGACATTCGGTTCTCTTTCTTGGTAGGAAGGGAGTACTGTACAATTATAGGATCTCCTGAAACCTGCAGTGACGTAGCTGTCTTTACTCTGACTCTTGTGACATCCCCTAGGATGTTTGCATTTCTGCTCTTAATGACATTTGTGAGCATTGCCTTAAATGTTAGGCTTCTGTAAAACTAGTGTTTGGGCAAAAACATTGTGTCAAAAACCCTTATTACATCCTGAAAATTTTACTGATACCTCATCAGCCTCTTTTGTTTTAAGCAGAGTTGCTCTCACAAGTATCAGCCTTAATTCTTGAAGTTTATTTGCAAGCTGGCTGACTTTTACATCTTGTTCCTATTTTTGAAACTTAGCCTGCCAAAAATACCCTTTATAAAGCTCTCCCTCAGTCTATGAGGCAGGCTTTGTTTTAGAGCATCTGTTAACTTGTTTGAGTGGAGTTGGTGTTGTTAGAGAGAGAAGCAGTGAGAGTCTTTTTAGTCCTGATCGTGAAATAGAGGAGCACAGGGCACTTGCCGCTCACGTGGCAGAGATCTTTGGAGAGGTGCAGTTTGGCAGAGCAGGTAGGCCTGTGTGCTTCTGTCAGCATTTCTAACCCCTAGGCATGACAATCAGTAAGGCTCTCACAAGTATGAAAGGTAATTAGTGGTTTGAGGTGTTAATGGTGCAACTGTTAATTCGTTTCATATATATATGCAACTAAAGTTACAGAATAATTATCCTAACAACCCTGATATCTTCAAATTACTGGTATCAAATGAGAATTAATTTATTCCTAAATCCACTGGATTTTAGGTGTAGCTGCACATAAATAGATAGTTTGAAATATTTTTTTCATTGTCTTTCCCTGTGGTTAAGACAGGAATCTTGAAAGTCACACTGTCAAAATGGTGTTTCACTGTGCATTGCAATTACTGTAAAATTAGCATTGGAGACTATTTCAGTGATGTGCCCTGACTTTTTGTTTGTCTCTTCATAACCTCCAGGCCTGAGCTTGCACGACCAGCTACAACTTTGTATCAGCACAACCTAACAGGAATTCTAGAAACTGCAGTGAGGGCAACTAACGCGCAGTTTGATAATCCGGAGATTCTCAAACGCCTGGACGTTCGACTGCTGGAGGTTTGTTGCACCTTGGTGCTTGTGATCTGAAATGATACATGACTAAAACTGCCTACTGTGTGTGTGTGTGTGTGTGTGTGTGTGCATGTGTTTGTATACACATAAACACATAGAGAGAGTTTTGCCCAGAGAGGCTGTGGAGTCTCCTCCTGTGGAGATCTTCCAAACCTGCCTAGATGCCACCCTGTGCCCCGTGCTCTAGGTGTCCCTGCTGGAGCAGGGGGGTTGGACTAAATGATCTCTAGAGGTCCCTTCCAACCTCAACCATTCTGTGATTCTGTGAGAGAGTATCCACACATGTAGGTGCATGGATGAAAGAAAATTTTCATGTGCATATATAGTACTACTTTTTTTTTTCCTTTTTTTCCCATTTAAGTCTAGTTTGAATTATGTAAGCTTCCTTCAAAAGCCTTCCATTCTCCCTTCTCCTGTCCACTGTCTGTATTTTGATCTGCAGAAATGTGGTAATTTCATTGACAATAGAAGATATAGATAGATAGATTTGAATCTAACAGTAAGTGATGCTGGTGGCCCTGATTTGGGGTTCTGCAGGCAACTCTTACTGCTGTTGCTTTTACTACATCTAGGGTATGGATTCTTCGTGACTTGTAGTGCGAAAGCGTGAAGAAGATAAAAGTGCATTTTTGTGAAGGAGATGTTTGGTAGGAAACTTTTGTCAATGAGGAAAGGTTTCCTGCTCCAGCCTGAGATGAGGGTTATCCAAATAAATGTAGAAATCTGATATAAACCTATACTTCAGGCTGAAACCTGCCTGAAAAGTCTGTCTTTTTCCACATTTCCTTTATTAACTCCAGTGGGAAAAAAATGATGTTAAAACAGTTGGTGAGATAAATCCCTCCTTTGTGTCAAACTTTAAATCTTTTTTCTTAATTTCCTGAGGGTACATTTTGACAAGAAACTTTCATATTGACATTAGTGATATGGCACTTATTTTTTTCATAGATTTTGGGGAATGGAAGAGTAAATAAGATTTCTTTGACACTAGTGTGCTCTGGTTAAACACTAAAAGCAGCATCTTTTTTTAAATACAGGTGTCTCCAGGGGACACTGGATGGGATGTCTTCAGCTTAGACTATCATGTTGATGGGCCAATAGCAACGGTAATGCCTTCTACTGCAGATTCTGAACATTTCTAATACCAGTTTGACTAGTTAAATAATTTGTTAATGAAAAAACTTTTAATTCTGGAATGTAAGATCAAAGAGACTTCAACTTTTTGTCAAGGACAATAAAAGGACCAACCTACTGTATAAACAGTTCAGTTTAGTAAGCTAACAGTGAGTGCAATAAAAGCTTCATTTGATTACTGAAAGTCAGTAGTTCATCTGTTCCAGCATGTGTTTTTGCAAGTACTCAATAAATGGAATGTTCTTTTCTTACTATTATGTCAATTTTGTAGCAGCTAATTTGAGATAATTTGCAAGAAACTGGAACATATTTGGAGACAATCTGTCTGTACTATTTAAATAAAACTTGATAGGTAGTACTCATTAGAACTTCAAGAAAATAGCTGCACTGTTGATTAGATTGCTTTTAGCCTCTACAATGACTTTAAAATAAAATCAGCAGAAAGAACAGTCCATGCACATGTAGTTTGAGAAAAGTGAACCATTTAGGCTTTGTGCTTTGTTCATTCTTTCTTATACTTCCTCCCAGTTAGGACTGAAAGTGCTCAAAACCTCCCGAGAAATGATTGACTCTTACCACACTGGTCCAGCTTCTTACAAGTGACATGTCGGTGGGACCTCAGATACACTGGCAGCTTCTCATCTTGCTACAAATAGGCCTGTCCAATCTTTGGCAAACACCTTCTTCTCATGGCTGCTGCTTGTTGTCTGCCTTACCTGTGAGATTAGCCTCCTCAGAAATGACTGAGAAAAGCCAGTGACCAGCCTCTCAGGCTGAGGCAGTTCTGCTTCAAAAAAAACAGGATAACCTCATGCTTTAAGCACTTCAGTCTACACTCACCTGTTAGCCTCCTGCCACTGGGCTTGGGTTGGCAGCTCTGTCCTCCTCTGTTTCCTGCCTGCCTGCAGAATTGGTAGCTCTTGAGGCTAGAGCAAATGACTAGTTTTTTACATGTGGCAGCTGGCAACTCTTACAAGTTCTGCTGCCTCTGATAGGGCAGAATTTTGCTTATTCCTCCCGACCTACGTTTGGATCTCTTGAGGAAAACTTTTTATTGAAAGCAGTGATCCAAAATCCCATTCCTCAACAGAAACTTAACTTACAGGAGACCTGTCTTATGAGAAGAGCTTTGAGCTTCTGCTTTTGCAGTTTGTGATGAGGACAGTCTTTGAATACCCATATCTTCTCATTCCACCTTACATAAAATATCAAGCTGATGAAATGCAGTACAGATTTCATGTGCAGCTTTTAAACGTTATTTTATTTACTTGTTGAATGTTTGGTAACTCAACTGGTTAAACTCTTGAGGAAGCATCTTCCCAGTAGCTGTGGATTTTTTAGTGACTTGGTTCTGCTGATATTTACTCATAGACTACATGAGTCGGGAAAGATGGTCTGTGAAGTGGTTCTGTGTCCCTTAGAGCACATGGTATGTCTGTTAAATTTGTACTGATCTTTTGTTAATTTTGTAGGTGTTTACACGTGAGTGCATGAGCCACTATCTAAGAGTATTTAATTTCCTTTGGAGAGCGAAGCGGATGGAGTATATTCTCACTGATATATGGAAAGGACACATGTGCAATGCAAAGCTTTTGAAAAGTATGCCAGGTAAGAGGGGCCACATGGATAACATACTTGCAAATTACGTTTAGATAACTTCAACTTATTTTAAACTGTGTGTTGTGGAAAAAAAAATCCTTTTGGACAGATTGATTTTTATTTTGTTGCTCCTCTTGACTAAAGGTTTTATAATAGATGATGATGAAGGGGAAACAACATAATTGGGATTGGAAGTTCTCCCTGTTTATTGTTTGAATTAATCCTTAGCTGTTAATTTTGTGGCAGTGAGCAGATGAAATGTTCCATGTCTCTGGAAAGGAGAAACAAAGCAGTGAAGTGACTGTTAAAGGCAGGTGTTTCTGTGGAATAGCTGATGTGATTTTACTTTTGTAGGCTGCAAGTTGATATTTGTTTTGGCCTTTTATGGTTGACATATCTCAGACATGTGCTGGAGATTGTCTAGGTACATGGCTGAGTCCATGTGAAGCTCTGTGACTTTGTTGGCTTTCCAGCTGCTCCTTACATATTGTATCTTCTTCATCAAATGGAAGGGAAACTAAGGCAATATAGCATTTTGGTTGCATTTGTAACCTTTACTTCTCTGTAAAACAACCTCTTTTATGCCTAACTTTGTTCCACTGCAGGGTTCTAGTTTTGACGTCAGAAAAAATATCAAGTTTCCTAACTGCAAGTTCAAACTGGAGTAGGTAGAAGAGATAAATAGAAATTGTTTTCTGTCTAAGATATACACAAATAATCCACACAGTGGTAACGCTGTGAAGCCCGAGCACTTTGAATATACATTCCTTTCAGTATAGATCATTAAGGTACAACGCAACATAAAATAAGTGCTCAGGTATATGTATTCCTTGTATGTATTTCACCTTCCCTCTATCAGTGTTCACTCCTTGTGCTTACCATTACTTTTCTCAACAACTCTGTCTTAAGACTACGCCAGGTGGCACACACTAGTTCTTCTATGTTTGACTTCCCGTTAAAACCTGAAATATGGACTCCTGGCAGTGCATTTCTTGCACAGATTTTATCCAAATATTAAGAAAATCTTGTCTCTTTCAATCACTGTTCTAGCATGTGTCTAGAAAACGTGTTCTGGCCCTGGTTAGCATGTCAGGTAACCATGAGGGTGGTATTTCGTTCTTCTGTATTTTTGGCAAGGTTGCTTGAGAACAATGACGAGAAATGTGTTTTTGATTCCTTGTTCCTTACTGGTGTCAGTGTATATTTAGATCTAGCTTAAGACAAAAAATTTCAGCCTCGTTGAACCTTGTGCACAATCTGAACCAATCAGAGCTCTCGTGTTCTTGTTCAGCTTTTGTAGTGCTCCTGGTGGCTTTTGCTGCTGTCAGTGAGGAAGAGTTCCCAGTGCTCTTCGTGGGGATGCCTTGTGTGTCTTCCCACTCTACCTCTTCGTTTCAGAAGGAGAAAAACAGGCAACCTGAGACTATACTGCATGGACAGTACTGCCACTGCCATCACCTTGATAGTCCCTAGACTGTGTCTCTGCTTGTTTCAGTTATAGAGTCCATTGGACCTGTTGACCAGGTCACTTGTGGATTTCGGGAGCTTCTCAATGCAGTGCAACTTGAGGAAAATGTGTGATTTGGCTTGTGATTTGGGCGTGGTCTGGCTCTGAGGCAGGGAGCGAGGCTGTAGAAAGAGAACCTGCTGAAGCTCCATAGAAGAGGGAGCAGGAAAGAAAGGAGAGAAAGAGAGAGAGAAGAAGGAGAGAGAAAGGCCTTTCCACTGTCTGTTGCCTTTCCCTTTCTCCTGTGCTGCAAGTACCAAGACTCAGTGAGCAGCCTTCCGAAACGAGGCCTCTTCACCTCCTGCTCTCCCTGTGCTCTGGCTTAGCTCCGAGCACAAGAGGCTCCGCTAGGCAGCAGAGGCAGCTTTTGGAGAGGGACTGGAAAGTCTGAAGCGCAAGACTGGGTGGTCTGATGCTGTAAGCATCTCGGATAGTCTCTGAATGGATTGGGAGCCTCTCATCACACTTTTGAGCTGAGAACATCACAGTATCTGTGAGCATGAGTGCTGGCTCAAGCTTGACTTCCTGACCTCGCTGCATGTCTCTCAGGAACTATAGCTCCAGAGAGCTTCTCTTCCTAGTGGTGTGGTAGTGTTTACCAAGAAGTATCTCTGTGTTCAGAGTGAGGATCTGCCTGCCTGGTGAGGGCTGTAGTGGAAACGTCAGTATCCAGGTTTAGTGTAGCCTGCCCAGGTGTTGCCCAGCTTTGGTGTTACAGGACCTGGATGCCTGCAGTCTTGGTGTTTTCACCCATTTGCCTCTTAGGAGAAATTCCCAAGCAGGGACTGCTGGACTGACTGGAGCACTTTCCTCCTCCATCCTTTGCCTAGCTGTTCTCAGTTAGAGTCGCTAATACTCAAGCTCTTTGCTTGCCTTTCACTTTCAAGTACTGGAAGCAATTCCGCTACTTCCTTAATTCTGCCGGCCTCAAGCATGGGAGTGTCTAACGCTGGTGTGGGTGAAACCCTCACCTTTGCCATGTGACCTTTGAAAAGCTGGGACGCTTGCAGTTTAGTCAAGTGAGTGACTTCTTGGCAATCAGATATTGGCCTGTACTTGTCTCTCTAATCTAGAAGTGTGTTTTTATGGCACTGGCAGTAACGTCTGCCTGCATTAATCTCAAGTAGGAATAGGTATACATCATTGTCACCAAGGTTAAGGAATCGCTGCTATTTGGCTCATGTGTCCGACTTCTACAATGACACTGCAGGATCAAATAACAGGAGAGGTTATTTTCACTGATCCTGTTTCAAGTTGATTCAACATAAAGTGTTGGAGACGTTCTTCTGGCAAAGGTGAGAGGAATGAAGAACAGAGGAGCTTGTAGGTCCATCACTCAGCGCAGTGAGTGGTTCTGTGACATCCCTGTGTATGAAAACGCAGCATTGCTTTTGTAGTAATGTCAGTGCTTGTTTACAGCTGCATAATCACTTTGGCAGCTTTTCAGAGAGGGGACTTCCTCTCTTCACACCTCTGCCTATTTTCAAATGTTGGATATCTGCATCGTGGAGAATTATGTCCTTGAGCAGTTTCCTTGCCACTGCACTTCTGCAAGAGAGCTACCTCTTCTCCAGTGAGCAGCTGAGGCTGTGAGGGTGGCTTTCCCCCGGGCGTCTGTGGTGGCCTGAGGAACTAAGGCTGGAACACCTGAGCCATGGACTCCCCAGGCCTGTTACAGCCCCCCTCCATTTTGGTTTAGACGTTTTGGTGTTTTGATTTGGCATTTGGAAGTAATGGAAATTATGCCTTCTCTGTCTTTCAAGGCTCCTCGCAAGAGATCTGAGGAGAGTGGAAGAAGCAGCAACTGCGGATCTCTAGTCTTAGGCTTTCAACCTAAGCGTGCATGGAAAATTTGTTGTATTTTGTTGTCTTGGGGAATTGGCAAGGGTGTTTTTTGCTAGTGTTGCTCTACAGGTTTTCTGCACTGTCTACTGGTTTAGTGGCTGTTTTTGGGGGTACTTCATTTGGCAAAAAGAAGACATTACCAAGCTGATTTGGTGGCCATTGCTGTCCTTTCTATCTTTAACATACCATCTCTCTGAATTTTTTACAGAGCTTTCTGGAGTGCTGCATCAGTGTCACGTTCTGGCATCAGAAATGGTCCATTTCATTCATCAAATGCAGTATTACATTACATTTGAGGTACACTTTATCCACCTAATGGGTTGCTTACAAAAGAAGCACTTTTAATACACTGAATGTGTTGTTGTGTGTGTTAAATTGCAAAGAGCTTGTCGTCTGGCAAGTCACAATAGCCCAATCCTGAATCGTTACTCCAGGTCCTTGAATGTTCATGGGATGAGCTCTGGAACAAGGTCCAACAAGCGCAGGACCTGGATCATATCATTGCGGCTCACGAAGTTTTCCTGGATACCATAATTGCTCGGTGCTTGCTGGATAATGACTCTAGGGTAAGTGGTTGCCTTCGCGTGATGCTGTAGCTCTGTGATCTTCACTCACGGGTTAGCAGTCTTCCTCTGTTATGTTAGAGGCCGACCGGGAAAAGTCCTTTTTCTCCCATGGATACAGGGGTTGTGCTGGGGTTTGTACCTAGTCCCCGGGCTCACTTATGGGTGCTGATTCTAAAACTTGCCACAACTTGAGCCAGTTGCTTTTGGGCCTAAGAAGCTGCTGGCTCGTGCCACACCTGATCTGGGGCTTTGCAAACCAGAGTGGTGTTAGAAAAGATTAAATTTTTGCATGTTCCAAAGAATGATAGTAAGTTAAATCTCTTTGACTGTAGAACTCTCCTCAATGTCTTACTGTTGTACCAGGTACTTCTCAACCAGCTTCGGGCGGTTTTTGATCAGATCATTGAGCTCCAGAATGCCCAGGATGCCATGTACAGAGCTGCTTTGGAAGAGCTGCAGCGGAGGTTGCAATTTGAAGAGAGAAAGAAACAACGGGAGCTTGAGGTACAGTGATGGTATCATTGGCGTGTAATAGTTAATTGAGGCAGATATCTGTGCTTCTTGCTAGCCAATTCTCTTTTCTTTTTGACAACATGTGGAGCTGAAACAAGTATTTATTTTTGGAGCAAATGTAAAAGTCATTTTAGAGCAAATGTAAAAGTGGGTTGTGAATGCAAACAAGTTCCTGAATGACATTGCTCATGGTTTATCTTGCCCACAAAGTCTATTTGAATAGATCTTAGGAGGACAGGAAGTGTGGGGCCCCTTTAGGCTCAGGGAATGGAAGCAGCCTCTTCTCAGTCTTTTCAGCTTGAGTGTTGGAGCTCCCTGCCTGCCTGAGTACCACCCATTGGGGAGAGGGGTGGTGCTGGGGTGAGACTCGGTTAAGCTGAGCTTCCCTTGGTAGCCTCTCTTTTCCTCCGAGGGCTGTGAGATGGCCTCTGTGTAACCTGTCCTTGTGCAGGAGGCCTGTTGTTCATCTTGAGTAGCCTCAGGTGCTACCCAGCTGCCATGCGGGCTGGTGGTTTCGCTGGCACAGGCTACATGTTTCTTGCTCTGCTAGTGCTCAGTTGAGCAGGGCTGTTTGGACAGGTAGCAGGTTGACTTGGGAGCCACTTGGGAAGATTGACCCGTTATTTGTTTGGTCTCTGTAGGGCGAATGGGGTGTAACTGCATCAGAAGAAGAGGAAGAAAAGAGGAGGATAAAAGATTTTCAAGAATCAATACCCAAAATGTGCTCACAGCTTCGAATACTGACTCATTTTTACCAGGTGCTCCTTAGTTATATTTTGTGCATGGATTATGAGTTTTGGTATGGAGATATCAATTTCAAATGCAGGTTAGGTGTTAATACTGCATTTATATGTGTCATTTGTGCATTTCTTCTTCTGTTTTTGCTGGTCTGTTTAGAAGTCTGTGTTTGCTGTTCTTTAACAGATTTCTGTGATTATCTGTGTTCCACTGATAAAGAGGGGAAAATTTGCCATTCCATTTGTTTCCTCAGGCTTTGCAAGTTACTGTTAAAGACTTAACAGAAACGCTCCTTTTTTTCAGAACCTGTGAACAGGGGCAGTGGGTGAGTGGTCAGGGCTACATGCACCTTGTTTGAGGGGCCCTTATTCCCCCATTGTCTTAATTTCTGGCATCTGGTTTGAAAGTTTTCTCTCCTCAGCAAAATCAGCTCTTAGCTTGCGTGGAACACGTGCCAGAAGGCAGCACAAGGGTGGGACACAGCCATAGCTGCCCCACTGGAAACCACCCTCCTAGCACAGCTCATTTCCTTCACACGTGGGAAATCCTTAATGTCTTTTAGTGTGCCTTTTAAATGCTCTTATTTATCACGTTGGGAAAACATGTTAGTTTTATTTAATGATGTTAAAGCTGAATTTGACCTAGACCTCTTGGACCAGATTTATTCCTATTTTTTCCTTGATATTTCTTTTATCTTTTTTCTTTTTACTTTTTACTCTCCGTAAATATGCATCTAGACAAATATTAAACATGTAATCATGTGTTGCTTCCCTGGTAAAGGATTTTTTTTCCCCTCTGAGTTAACACACCCTTTAACATGTTTTCTTTTAGCTTGTAACAATACATTGCCATTAGTAAGGAATATATAGTCTGCTCGAGAGCAAAGTTGGTTATTGATATTTTCTTTTAGCTTGTAACAATACAGTAGGCACAGATTATTTACTGCAGTTATAATGGCAACTCCATACTTTTTCAGCATGCGCACAGCCCTTCCCAACACTTCTCTCCAGCAGTTTCCACCACAAGATCCAGTTCTCTGGTACCTATAGCTTTGCCAGGATATAGCTCCTCTGGATGAAGTGCTGCATTGCCAAAAGAGTTCAGTTCACATGGAAGTTTGAAGGAAAATAGGTCAGAAGTGGCAGGCTCAGGAAATGCTTGCGTCTGCCAGGGGGCTCCGTCCCGCAGACAACGCCTCGCAGAAGGCAAACGGGCTGCTCACTGGGTCTGCAGCACCCGCTGCCCTGCGCCGCGGATCCCCTGCTCTTCAACGGTGCTACTTGCTGCTGTGGCGCTCCCCCTGTGGCTGCCACAACTAGGTGCTGCAGAAGCAAGCAGCGGTTTCAGGCTGTTTTGGCCTGGCTTGTCCTTGCAGCCTGGGGCCATGTTGAGTGTCCTGACCACGTGGAGGTGTCCTGCTTGCACGGCCTGAGTCCTAAGTGGTCTCCAGTGTGTTGTGGGGCTGGCCTGGGAGGGCCGGGGAAGGTGCTGGGCAGCCCCCGTGCGAGGAGCTGCCGCAGGGCGAGCGAGGAGGCTGCTCCGTTTGCAAGTCAGAGCTGGGCAGGCTGAAGACACTGAGCTGTGTATGGTAGCAATTTCAAGGCAAAAGGAAGATTCTGAGTTTTTGCAGGAAGTGTGAATACAATGTAACTCCGTTGCTAACAGTTATTTATAAATGCTTGTGTCTGCGTTTCCCTGGATTCTGGCTGCTTCTTTGCCAGACGTAGAGGCCACCTCATGTTCGCGTAGAAATTACATCTGACCTGTTCTTAGGGATCTCCTGTCTTTTTCTTTCTCACTTAGGGAATCGTCCAGCAGTTCTTGGTCTTGCTGACAACCAGCTCCGATGAAAGTCTTCGATTTCTAAGCTTTAGATTGGACTTTAATGAACATTATAAAGGCAAGAGAACAAGGCTTCGTATTTCTTTGGGCACTAGGGGCAGACGAAGCTCACATATGTGAAACAGTTTCTAGTAACTGCACCTCGGTATCCGAAGGATGTTGAACCTCTTGTTGGACAAGGCAATCAGTGTCAACATAATTACACCAAGTGGCGTGCGATATGTGTCCACCATTTCTGCAGGCAACATGTTTCTCCTCATGTGATTGTGTGACACTCTATAGCAGAAGGAAAAAAAAAGAAAAAAGAAAAAAAAAAAGTATGTTTTTTTACACTGATGTTTATAAGACAACCAGATTAAATGAGCTGACAGAACCTCTTCCAATCAGCTTGTTCATCATCCCTTTCCACAAATGCTTAATTTAGTAAGCTCCCTCCACTGTAACTTTTTTTCTGTGTCCAGGAAGTTGCATCTTTTGTTTTGGGAGGCACCCTTTCCTTTTTTAACAAGAAAATAAGAAGGTTATTTTTTCTATGTACTTGTTCTATTTGAGAGTAGCTTTTGTTAAAGCTGACAGATTAGAACCCAGAGCTATAGAAAGCATTTTCCTATGCTGATTTTCAGTGTTGTGATGTATTTGACTGTGTGAGAAACTCTATATCCTGGGACATAAACTCAATTCTGATTTTCTTTGTTTTCAAAGAAGCTGTTGGCAGTTTCATGTAGGAATGATTTAATGGGCAAATTCTACAGCTGCTGAACAGGAGCAAACCGTAGAAGCAAAGCAGGAGTGAATATATTTCACCTAAGATATTTTAAGAACGGAAGATAAAGCCCATTACTGTCAAATGGGTGTCCATAAGGATAGAAGTGAATGAAATCATTTGTGTTGAGAATCTGGGATGTCAGAAAGAAAGGGCCTTGTCTAAGTTTGACTATATTATTTCTCTTCCTTCCCTATTTTTGCATTGTAAATATTTATATATTGATGTCCAGATGCAAGGGTGGGTCAGGGTGGACACAACACGACTCTTTTGCAAAAATGCCATGATGTCAGGTCATTTGTTATGTTCCAAGATTAGGAAAATAAAACACAAATATCTTTCAAACACCTGTTTGTTTTTTTGTAAGGGAAAGGTGATAGTGCTTAGACATCGTAAAAAGGGAAACACTTCCAGTTAGGAGTGTAATTGGTTTACAGATCCCTGCCTATTACAGGGCTTTGGTACAGGTATTAACTGTAGTCAAGATTCTGAGCAGCCTGTTGACTGGCAGTTGCTCTCAGCTGCACGAAGCCTCTGGGCTTTTCTGCCCTGTGTCTGCTCCAGCCCCTGCAGAGCAGAGGCCCCTGCCTGACCATTCCAGGGAGTTTGCTGTGAGCCCTAGGGGAGAGGAGCTCTCCTGAGGATGATGCACCCAGCCCACAGCTTGTTCGTTCTCTGGGTACCAGAACTCCAAAGTTCTGCGGCAGCGTCTGCAGTCCTCAGTTGGGTTGAAGTGAACATGTAAGGCCTTGAACTCTGGGCCCCTATCAGGACCCGAAAGCAGGGGA